GTTAGCTAAAAACAAGCTCTAACCACATTGACAATGTTAGGAGGTTGAGAGGAATAAACTTTAAGGTCTTTGTGATAGATAGTCTTAATAGTTTCAGTTTGTCAAATAAGGGGCAATTTCATCATTTGATGTGAGAAATTAATAGCACTCTAGTGTTTAGTCCTTTGGGCCTTCAAAGAAGATTCAAAATATATTGGGCCCTTTCTATAATTTTGTTCTTTTTAGGGGCCCTGAATGTGATTCTTCCTTTTTAAATTTCAAGGAGATTATTCTGTCATTCTTCCAATTAAAAATTGTTTGTAACAAACAAAGGAGTGGAGGAAGGATTTTTTCGTAGAGGATGGAACACACTTGTTTTAGGAATATTTGATGTGATTGAAAAATTAATAAAAATATATAAATTAGGGAAAAATAACAATAGCATTCATATTTGAAAATAATATAAATAAATAAACTTTATTAAATAATGTTAATGATAATATAAAACAATGGATATTTCATTTCTTTTTTCTTTTAGGGAAAATGAAAATTAGGGATCTCATACGAATATTGATGACAATTACAGCTTTTGAATTCTTGAAATTCTATTAGAAAACTATGGTCTTTATTTACAATAAATTATTTTTGTTAATTTTGGTCCTTTTTTCTCTTTCAAGAAAAATGACAATTAAGGACCTCATATGAACATTAATGACAATTACATATCTTGAATTATTAAAATTCAAATAAAAGATTATAATTTTTATTTGTAATAAATTATCTTTTACTAATTGGCTTAAGATTTACAATGAACTTTTATAAATTCTTAACTAACACTACAAAGATTTTAAGTATTTTTTATTGATTTCTCAAGTAATAATTAAAAAAATAAGTGATTGACTGATGATTCACAACTAATTTTTATAAATTTTTAACCAACGTTATAAATAATTTTAAATGTGTTTTGTACATTTTTGAAGAGATTTATTTGTATATTGATAGTAAAAAAATCACAAGTTATAAATAATTTTGAGTGTATTTTCTTAATTTTTAAAGTGATTTATACATATATTAATTGTAAAAAATAAATACAGACTCTTGTAAATTTTTAATTAATGTTGTAAATAATTCCAATTGTATTTTGTTAATTTTTCAACTGGCTATTTGTATTTTTTAAATGAAAATAAAAATCAAAGTTTTGTATTGAGATTTCAATAATTTATGATCTATAATTATTATTAATGTTTTTATAGAATCTCTAATTATTATTTTCCCTTTCTTTTAACCTTTTCTCCTCTCTCAATTATCAAACACAACATTAACTCTTGGATAATTTTAAAGTTACACTCCAATCAATTTTAGATGTAATTGATGTGAATATTAAAAGTTAAAAGGCTTTATAATAATCAAGAGTAAAAAAACAAAAATAAAAAAATTACATCAAGACCCAACATAAAAAGGAACTTATTGTCAAAAAATTCATAAAATTCATAAAATACTTTCAAGTTTCAAATTCTACGTATTTACAACTTAAGTAAGGGCATTAACTACTGGATAACGGTCATTTATAACTTGTAAAGAAAAATAATAATTTGTGATAACAAATTATAAATAGTTGTTGCCCAATTGTCAATGTTCTTAATCAAGTTACAAATACACATAATTTGAGACTTGATAGTATTGTGAATTTTATAAGATCTCTAGGTGATAAATTATCTTCTATGAAACCTAGATGTAATTTTTTCTAAAAAAAATGAAAACTCCAACAGGCAATAGTTTGACAATATATAGGGCTTGTTTAAAATTATTTTTATTTTATTATTTTAAAAATTAGTAATTTGTAGAATATATTTTGAAAACAAAAATAATCCTAAAACACTTAAAAGATATTTTTATTTTTTTTCAAAATAATATTTTATTTTTTTCCAAAAAATTTTTTAAAAATATATTACTAAATAGATTTTTTATTTTTTTATTCTGAAGAATAAAAAATTATTCTTAAAATAGGTTGCCAAAAAAGCCTATAGTTTTCCTAAAAATTTTTGGCTAAAATATTTATAATACTCATATAAATATGTCAACATCATGTTCGAATATTTATTAAGAATATATTTTTAAAAAAATTTAATTAATTACTTACAAAAAGAATTAAAATACCTTATATTTTTAAATATGATATATTAAAAAAAATTATATCCAATAAAAAGTGCATATAGTCACCAAAATGATTGTTTCTTTCTTTTTTTATAGTTAAAAGTGAAAATGGATTGTCAAATTTGGTTGATGATTTTTTCAGTATTTTTTGGTACAATGTTGGTAAAAAAAGTATTTTTTTTGGTACAGTATAACTTTTATGTATTTATTACGATAGTTTTCCAAAAAAAAAAACGACTCACATTTGGACTTTTTTAACTAACTATCCTATTATTGATTATTAAAAAAAATTGTTCTTCTGTCGTAGCTGCATATTCATATGGGACAATATCATAAGTCATCATAGAATCCTAAAGGTCTGTTTGGATTTCAGTTGGGTATAATAGATTATGAAAATAATTGATTAAGTGGTAGATTTTAATCATAATTGATTATGTTATAACGTAATCTGTTTGGATATTGTTTTTTTAAAATTAATTTTAATAGAATTGAAGATATTTGGATAATTTAATCAAAATTAATTTTTAACTATATAATTTAATTTTTAAATATCAAATATTAATTTTTTAAATATATAAAGTTTAAATTTTATTAAGGAAAAAAAAAGAAAAAGAAGAGAGTTTAATTTTATTTTTATTAAATTATGTGCTTTCTTTGTAATTTTTTCCTGGGCCTGTTTTTGTAATTTTTCCCAACGTTTTTGACAAACTTTTGGCAAAAAGCGGACGAAGGGAGCTTCAGGAAAAACGAGCGTTTTGGCCCAAAATTGATTTTTGATTATTTTCGACTGTTTGGATAGATTGACAGAAAAAATTGATTTTGAGTTCAAAACGCGTGTTTTCTCCTTATCCAAAAGGGCACTAATATGAAAATGGAAACTTATTTCATTCCTTTTTGCCATGCAAAAAATGTGACCATTTGTTTTGCCAGAGTGACATTTTTTTGGTCACGACTCTGCAATAGTAAATGAAAGCAAATCGAGCACAACAGTGTAGCATGGTTGGGTTGTGGCGTGTTCAAGCTTTTATGGTAGTCTGAGATGGACTGCTCATCAAACTAGAAATTTTGCAAATTCTGCTGCTCCAGCTAGGTTCTCCTTCTTCTATAATCAATCATCAATCATTTCCATTATTTTTTTTTCTTTTTCTTTCATCGAATCGCTGAACTCGTTTCCTCGTTTCTTCGAAGCAAATCCATTTTTTTCTTCTAATAATTTTTTGTGGGTGCATCTAATCTGTCTCTCTCATTGCTGCTGGGAAGAACCCATATCCCTTTCTTCTAGCTGAGCCTCACAAGCTCAAATCCTAAGAAATCTCCCTCAACTACTTTCCCTTGCGACGTCTTAACCGTCATCCTAAATCAGCTTGACTTGCTTTCATTCTTTGTCTCGTCTTTTGAGACCATGTTTGTATAAACCTTTCCTTTTTCCTGCGCGCCTGTGAGTGAGAATCCAGAAATTTCGTTGTGGGGATTCAAAAATGAATGCTTGCAATTTGGTTCTTCTTTGGATCCTTTTTGCTGCTGTGCAGCGGGGCGGGAATCAACCTACTGAGAGAATTTTCAGGTAGTATTTCTTTGATTTATCCTTTTTAATTTCTTCAGCTTGTCCCACCAGTAACTTTTCTTTGAGTTGACTATATCCCATCTCTATTGGTTTAATTAGCTTTGTCTTCTTGCATTGCGTTCATTGGTGGTTTTGATTCTGGTCATTTCTTCGGTCTACCTGTTATAGTCATTTCAGTTTATGTTTTTCAGCGGCTTTCTGTGTTTTTTTAGCATTTGACTTCAGTTAAGATCTAATTCCGATTGAGGGTTATTAGGATTTTTTTCGTACAAGTTGCTAACTTTTTTGCTCAGTAGAAGAATTTTACATCCTACTTTGTCTACTGTCTACTGTCTACTCATAAAACATTGTTTCTCAAGCTTTCTTTTGAAATCATATGGCCAGACTCACGCCATTTGTAATCTTCAAATGAAAATCGGATTTTGTTCTGTATAGGAAAGGGATATTAAGGAGAATAGTTCATAAATTACTTCATAATTTTCCCCCTTAGATGATTCATTTTTCACTAACTCCTTGAGGGGACCATAGCAATTTAGCTTGTGATTTTGGAAGAAGCATATAATGCCCTATGAAATGGGGCTACGAGCATAAAGCATAAAGCATAAAGCATAAATTACTTGCTCCTGATTTCCCATTAGCATTTACAATCCTGGATTGTTTTATAAATGTCGGAAGTCGGGTCACACTGAGGCACATAAGAGCATAAAGCATATTTTTTTGGGGTGCTCTATGGCCGTTCTCCATGATTTGCTTTGCTTGGAGCAAAGGAAATAGGAGTTGGTAACATTGTTGATTGTAACTGAAATGATGCCCTATTGGAGCACTATATTTCATCAGACCATTAGGTTAGCTATGATAGGAGTAAAGGCTAAATTTTCTGATTATTCTGAATTTTTGATATTCATTCTCTAATATAGTTATAGGTGTAGGATATGAATCCTGCAGATAAGTAAATCCTTTATTTTCTTCTCCTTTTCCCACTTTGTTTCCTGCTTCTCAATTTTCCTTGTGGCGCTACTTAAGCTTCGCTTTGAATAAGTCAAGTTGGTGGGATTGTGTTAGAAATCTTGAGGACCTTTGACTTGATAGTTCTGTCACTACAGTAATATGATTTTCATCTCGAGGTTCTCTGAATTATGTCGAAATTAACTTTTTCTCCAATTAGAGGGTCATGACTTACCTTTAATTGCTATTTACGTAGAATCAAGTTCTCATTCCTTATGATACTTCCACTCTTCTAGGATAATTTTGCAAATGCAGGAAAATTCCGTTGACTAGGAAGAGATAAGATACCTAACATAAATTAAAATTTGGATCTCAGATACCTTTATGGTTGATGACATTTAAATGCTTCCTTCTCTAATCACCCTGGTGATGTAAAAGTTTTGAAATTGTAGCATTTGCTTGGAGTTGAAGCACTAGGGAAGCAACCATAGTTGGGTAGAGTAAAAGAAGAGATCTATCTGGTAATGTCAACACAAGAACACACCTGCACATACCAGTCTGCTTTAACTTTCAAGGTTCTAGCAAGCAGCCTTCTCCGCTATCTCTCAAACACCTAATGAAACAAATCTCATTGAGGAGATAAACTGGGACTAATTACATATCGCTTACTTTTCTTTTTTATTATTGTTTTACAATCAGAATACATATTCCTTCTAAAAAGATGAGACTGTCAAACTTGTTATGATTGGGCCAATTGTAGGTAGTGCTGGTGATGTACTCGAAGACAATCCAGTGGGGAGGCTGAAGGTCTTTGTTTATGAACTTCCAAGCAAATACAATAAGAAAATTCTGCAAAAGGACCCAAGATGCCTCAACCATATGTTTGCAGCCGAGATCTTTATGCACCGGTTTCTTTTATCTAGCCCTGTTCGGACCCTTAATCCTGAAGAAGCTGATTGGTTTTATACCCCAGTATACACTACCTGTGACTTGACCCCAAATGGCCTTCCCTTACCTTTCAAGTCACCACGAATGATGAGAAGTGCTATCCAGCTTATATCTTCAAACTGGCCTTATTGGAACCGGACAGAAGGAGCAGATCATTTCTTTGTGGTTCCTCATGACTTTGGCGCATGCTTCCATTATCAAGTAAGAAATTGGGAATATCATGATCATTCTATCCGTATTACTATCAAATGCCTCTGAGCTTGTCAACAGATTTTGGTGTCTTGTAGATTTCATTATTTCTGCCGTAGATGATGAATCTAGTAATGTTCTTTTAAATCATGCTATTTTGTTCCAGGAAGAGAAGGCTATTGAAAGAGGAATTCTTCCATTGCTACAGCGTGCAACCCTAGTTCAGACATTTGGACAAAAGAATCATGTGTGCTTGAAGGAGGGATCAATCACCATTCCTCCCTATGCTCCTCCACAGAAAATGCACACCCACCTGATTTCTGAAAAGATTCCTAGGTCCATTTTTGTTTACTTTCGAGGACTGTTCTATGATGTTGGAAATGACCCTGAAGGTGGTTACTATGCAAGGTAGGTCTTATTACAATTTTCAGTATGAAAAGAGTGTTAAGTTGTGTGTTGGTTTCCATTTGTTTTCCTATATTTTCATTAGAAGGCTGTCTTGAATTCCTCTATTGAATCTGCAAGAAACAGAATTAACTCCTATAGTTTTATTACAAATTTACAGAGGTGCAAGAGCAGCAGTATGGGAGAACTTCAAGGACAATCCACTTTTTGACATTTCCACCGAGCATCCAACCACATACTATGAGGACATGCAGCGAGCGGTGTTTTGTTTGTGTCCACTTGGCTGGGCTCCTTGGAGCCCAAGATTGGTTGAAGCTGTAATATTTGGTTGCATCCCCGTCATCATTGCAGATGATATTGTTCTACCCTTTGCTGACGCAATCCCATGGGAAGAGATTGGTGTGTTTGTTGACGAGGAAGATGTCCCTAAGTTGGATACCATACTCACATCTATTCCCCCAGAAATAATACTTAGAAAGCAGAGATTGCTTGCTAACCCTTCAATGAAACAAGCCATGTTATTCCCTCAACCTGCTCAACCAGGCGATGCATTCCATCAAGTTCTAAATGGGCTTGCTCGTAAGCTGCCACATGACAAGAGGATATACTTGAAACCCGGGGAGAAGATTCTGAATTGGACTGCTGGTCCTGTGGGTGACTTGAAACCATGGTAACAATGGCAATTGGCAACAGTTTTCTTTAGAGCCATTTGTGATTCTTCACATATCTTGGTCAGTCCTCCAAATGTTCATAGGGTTGGGTTGTAATTGAGAAGCCAGTTTTTCTTTGGTTACTGTAAATTTTGACATTTTCTTGGACAGTTTATGAAATCATGAAATCTCCATTTTGGAGCTCTGTTTCTCTGTATTTGTTTGTCATATAAACTGCATTTATTTGTATAGGTTATTTGTGGCAGATATTCCTAGTTTCACTTAGTAAAAGACTAGTTTCATCCGTAGTTCAATGGGAGACTCTTGCACTTGCGTCCTTTGTAACAATTTTCTTTTTTTTAAAGGAGTTTATTAAATGATCAATTGGTGGAGGGGTGCTGCATTATTGTTGGAAGTTGGATTTTTTTGCCAATAGAAAATATTTAGAGCACGTGTGATGTTTCTTGTGTCTTGAAAAATTTAAATCGTCAAATTTAAGGATGTATATTTCTTAAAGTTTTAAATTTTTTAAAAGGAATATAATGTAAAACGAAGATTCTTTTTAACTACAAACTTAGAAAAGTAAAAAATATAAAAAATGAATTTTATTAATATTAAATCTGACATTTTACATAGAAAAATAATAGCAAAGAATAGATGATATTATTGTATTTGGATTTTGGAGCCTTTATATTAAAAGAAACGAAAAGGAGGACTAGGAACCGAAAATATAACTTGGTTGCTATCATAGTAGGATTATCGATTTCTGACAGTAAAAGTTTGTTTGGCCCAAAAACAAAAACACTAAAAATTTGGCTTGGCATGTGTTTAGAACCGGGGCAAATCATGACTCCAAACCACATTTTACCAGTTTGGTGAGTGTTTTTAGAGGGCTTCAAATATTATCTCAAACAAGCTATTAGCCTTAGGGGTAGTTTTGTTAACTTTTTTCATTATTATTATTTTTTAGTTTTTTAACTCCACCATCTTCCATCACCAACATTACGAAGAGGAAGCTGAAAAATTCACTCTTTAAACCTAGAGATAAGCTTCGCGATGATCTGTGACATCCAATGTGTTTTCATTAAATCTTTTTTCTTGAATCAACAAAGGTTAGTTTAATAAGTAAAAATTTAAGAAGTTTTTTTAGATATAGTCTATATTATAGAATCAAATTAAATAAACAACCTAACATTTATTATATTTTATATTATGACTGATTTATTATAATTATTAATGATAAACTCCTCATAAATTTTTAAATTTTTAATGATAACTCATTGTATATTAATGTCTATCATTCATACTCCCAAAATTTCAAAAATTTTGATCCATGTTTTATGAGTATAAAATTTTTTTGATTAATGGGTCAATTTGTCCAAAATTTAATTTATAACTTATAAGATCATAAATTTAAATCTCATTATTGATTTAAAGATATTACTAGTGGACAATATGCAAATACCTTTGTAAGAGTTTTTGAATCTGAAAATATTTTTTGGCCTTAGTAAGGCTGGAAACCAATTCACTTAAATTTTTTATAATAAAAAAAAGAAAAATCTTCCTTGAAACACATAGATCTCAACAAAGAAGAAATCAATTTTGCATTATGATGGAGGGATTCAAGTTCGAAATTAAAGGAACATTCATCTCAAGAACTAACAACTTATGAGAGACGACATTTATCTATATAATAAATATCAAATAAATAGTGAGGAAATGATTTTGCGATTCTGCATTGAGAAACACGTGTTATATGTATTTAAAATTTAATTTCTTTCTCTTAGTAGATAGAAACGCGGAAGTAAGATCTGATATTTGGATAAGACAAGGACTAATTCCACAACAACCAGATGCAATTTCATAAATCAAACCAAACTGAATATTAAAGCATCACAATTATGGAGTTTCCTTTTCGACGAATATTAAATTTAAATTGTTTAATTGTAATCTAAATATTCCAGACAACCAAAACATATTCAATTCAATTATAATAACTAAGTCATCTTCAAGATGCGTTGACACTGTACAACACACACACATGCGTTCAAGACAAAAAAAAAAAAAAACAATGACGCCGTAGTTTAGAGTTAGTCTCAATGATTCCAATTCTTCCTTTCACATATTGGACGTAATTAAATGCATGCATTACTGTTAAATAATAAATTAATTAAGGCACTTCATCGATTCAGTTTCAAAAGGAAATTGAGCGATCTTATCTGATATCTCAATCCATACGTTACAGATATAACATGGTGGCGCAGCCTTCCTTTATTGTCAATTGGTTGAGTTTAACGGATTTAGTTTTTTTTTTCAAATGTTTATTCTATTTTTTAAATAGTTATTCCATATATACATGTACACGCTGTGTTCTGTTATAAGAAAATCCACTTTCTTTTGTTACCAACGATGTGAACTCAACATTCGCTCCTCACCCAGCAAATTTCTTCAATATATATATATATATATATATTATACACACAAATGTTTATAGACCAATCTTATTATTATTAACCTAATGAAAATACAAGCAACATGTATGATGAGGGCATGGGAAAATTTCAAGGAAAAATGACAATGACAATTAAAGACGTTGGGAGGAAATTAATCTAAAATAAAGACATTTGAGTAGTAAATTCTTAAAATTTTAGTTCTAAAAGGTCTTGATATTTTCAAAGGTCCTTATTTATCATTATTATCTCAAATTTTAAAAAGGATAAAATGGATAGGAGGAGAAATATTTTCATTCACTTTGATTCATATATGTGTGTAATTTGAGATAGCCTTTATTTACATGCATCCAATCATTAAATATACATATGGATTATATTGTATCTATGCTAATATACTTCCTCCAGCCCTTATATTAATATACTAGCATAAGATGCTCAGTTAGAATTTCAAATAATGTTCTATTTTTACTCCTATAATTTTAATAACTTTCTTGTAAATTGAGCAAGGTATGATGATGTTTTCTTTAATTAGTCATAGCATAATTAAAATATTAGGATGACTTTAATTTCTGAACAAATAAAGTAATCTAACAACTTCTCTTATACCGTGTAAACAAATTGTTTGAAACATTTATGTAATGTATCAGAGGAATAATGATATGCATTTCTCAAGATTAAAGATTCATGAATGTACTTAACATACATGAATGCTCAATATTTACTTTTTTATAATCAAAGTATAAGGTATTGATAACTAATTTTTAGTTATCATGCGTTAGCTGAAACGTTAATTTTTTTTAATTTTTTTTAATTTTACTCTTATTAAATATCCTGTATAAATATTTTGATAATGATAATTAAAAATTTAATACATTATTTTTAAAAAAAATAATAAATGATGTAGGGATATAGTTGAGGAAATAATTATAAAAATTACTTAATACTCTATATTTTATATCAAGTAAGATTTTTAAAAGATGACATATATTATTAAATGAATGGAGTAACACCTTAAATTCATGAGATATAATGATTCATATAAAAATTATAATTAGGATGTTTATATATAATTATAATTATAATTATGTTGACTCCTACAATGTTGCCCAGGCTGCCAGGCGTAAGAAATTCGTTGTCTTTTGTTCCCAATGATGTGAATGCAACTTTCATCTTCCTACGCGGCTAACTTATTATTATTATTATAAGGTCAAAGTGCCTTTTTTGATCCCCCTTTGAAGATCATTGAATGCCTTATATTAATAAGTAAGTTTTTTTTTAAATTATTTTTTAAAAGAGCAAAAATCTATCGACATTAGTGATCCATTAACAGAAGAAATTTTTGTTCTTTAAAAAATGCTTTAAGGAGAAAAAAGTCTCACTTATTAATACAGATTATCCAGCTTTCCTTGAAAGAAAATACATGAGAAAAAATGTATTTTAACCTTAGTAAGAATAAAAAAATTTAAATAAATTATAGAAAATGACCTTATAAAAAAATTAACATTGATTAAATTCTTTAAATATTTTAAGTCATTTTATGTGAATTTTTTGTCCAACTAATGATGTTCCTTCAAAATGTTACACTATCTAAATTTAATATTGTAATATTTTGTAACTTTATATTAAAAAGGAGGGAATGAGTCTCCAAATGAAGAAATAAGATTAATATTATATTATTAAATTTTCAATTTGTTTTCTCAATTATAAAATTGGAAACATAAAAATATCAATTAAAAACAAATGATACTTTACTTTTAAATATTTATTAATTTAACTATTAGTTAGCCAGAAAAATTATAGAAAATGACCTATAAAATCTAAGAGACTTGATTAATATTAATTTCTTAAAAGATAATTTTTTTATAAATATTAAATATTTTAATAATATTTATTAAATTTTATTTTAACAATACTTTAGAATATCCAATATCTTCAGAAAAAGAGTTTAAGAATAAATTAATATCAAAGAACATGCCATATTAATATAAATAACTGAGTTAATAAATTACTAACAGAAAAATAATTTAGTACAAAAAATATTTTATTTTTTTAATATAAAGTGCCTAGCATTCATTGAAAGAAAATACAAGAAAAAAAATGTAATTTAACTCATGTTTTTAATGATAGACCAAACTTTATTTTATTCTGGGACGTCATGTGTAATGATCACAACTGGTGACATCATTATTTGGCCCCGAAAAAATTGATGACATCATTAAATTAGTCTTTTTTCCAGCCAAACAATTTTAAATTCGTCACTAAAACATTTTTCATATGGATCGAGATTATGACTAGATAATATAAATTTTTTATAAAATAAATCCATCTATCTAATATTTTTCTAAAATGCCCTCAATTATTTCAAATAAAAATTATTCAACCCTTAATAGAACTCTCATATCTATACTATAAGGTGCTTTCAATTATCTCATTGGAATTAATGAACAATAATTAGCTCATTAAATATATAGTATTAATTTTTTTTTCGAACTTTGCTTTCTCCTATAAAAAATAAGAAGAGATATACTTAATATATGGTGAACTATAAAATTAAATTGATAGAAGGATAAAATTGAAAAATGATAGTCACTCTATTCTAAATGATAAAGTATTTTTAGACAAAATCACATGTGCCAAAAAAATTAATTAAATATACTTTATAATTTTATTTTAAAAATAAAAATATAAATTTATAAAAATATGCTTTATTTAATATTTTATTTATAAAAGAATATTAAGGAGAGACAACATAATGAGAAGAGTAATAATGTTAAAAAAATATTATTAATAAAATTTTATTTTTATTAAAATATTTTATATTAAGGAGAGAGAACATAATCAACAATGAAAGGCATTTAGAGCTGGCACTTTGCGATTAGTGGAACAAAGCCCCCATTGTAGTCAGCCAACAACAGTGGTTCCCAGCCACTTGGGATCTCCCTAGGAAAAACTAAATCATTGGATGACTTTGAGCCATTTTGGCCAAATAATCCGCACGACACTTGCTCTCGAGGAACACACAAAGGCTTATAATCCCTGTGAGTAAATTGGATCTCTTGCACCTCAAGAATGTCCTCATACAAAGAATGAGTTGTGTTGACTACTCTATACATATAATTAATTGTTTGGAATTTTGACATAAAAAACTAAACACTTAAACTGCTAGAGTTGAATATAAAGACATGTTGACATAAACTTGTAATTAGCTGTGGAGTCATTTGGTGATGAGAGTGGGCAAATGCATCTTCTCACTTTAGGAAAAATTATAAATAGGGTGTGTTAATTTTGCAACTTTGCACTCTCTACTTTTGATATTTTGCATCCTTTGAACAAAATACAAAATATTTATACTTAAAAGCTTATTAGATACGTAATATTTTAATGATCGAAATAAAATATAAAGGAGATATATTTATATAAGAAACCGTATTAACATGTTCAATATAATCTTCTAAAAAAATAATAATCAATTTACTTATATTATTACAATTTTAATTTTATTATAATTATTATATTAAAAAATTACTAATTTTTAAAATAACTTATGTTGCACCCCTTGACTTCGGATCTTGGCTTTGCCACTGCTCATAATCTTAAAACAAAATGCTAGAATTGGAAGCATGTAGTCATGTCACAACTTACGAGCTTCTGATTTTGATGCCAAAGGTTAGATCATTAGAGTTGGAGGAGAAGTCAAAATTTGAGCTTGAGTTGTAAAGTAGAGATCAGATATTAGATAAGAGAAGACAGAAGATGACGAGCTATTAGAGAAGAGAAATTGTAAATCTAAATAATTTATCGTATTTTTTTAATTTTAAGCTTGATATTGGGTTGACTTGTTTTGGTTTCTAGGTCATATTTGTTTCTCTTAAAATCGCTCGGGTCAACCTGATCCAAATACAAAAGTGATTCAAATGGTTAAACAAAGTCATTTTGTTAAGTGATCAACAGTCGGACTGTCCGATCGAAATTTCAAAACATTGAATTATTCTATTCTTACTCTCTCACCTCAAGCTTTGTTAATTAAAGTGAGAATTGGCTTCTCCTGCTTTCTTGTATTTCCAACTCTTAGAATCAAAATTTTAAATTTAATTGTTTGCAAAATTAGTATTAAAGATGTAAAATTAAGGAAAATAAATAAATAAATTTAAAAATATAATAAATTTGATTTAAATTATAATTCAAGATTTAAGATTATAATAAAAATAAAAAATATTTTTAGAAGAATTTTTTTTGCCAACATTTTTAGAAGAAGTTAAATCCTAACAACTTAAAATTTGATTGAGATAGAAAGTAAAAAAATAAAAATAAAAAAGAAAATAAATTGAGAGAAACCAACTAGATTAATAGCTTGTTTGGTTTGATGCAAATTACTTATTTCCCTAATGCATTACAGAATTTCAACTGTTTGATTGGCATTAGATAAGGTAAAAGAAATTACATTAAGTAAAAGAGATTATATCATATACTATAAAAAAAATTACATTAATAAAGCATCACAACTATATTTTATATCATAATAGTCTTTCTTATATAATATACCAAACAAATATATGCATAATTCTTATTACATTATATTTCATTTTCTAGGATTACATTATATTCCCTCCGATTCTTTAAACCAAACGGGCCACAAAGATCACCTTCCTCACGAGATTTTCCTCATCTTCTCCTCCAGAAACTTCGAAGTTGTAAGAATCTTTCTCCATTGCAATGGCTTTCGCTATTAGATTCAGTGTCTTTCCATGTTCAAATTCGTGTGGTCATCGAAGTTGGGTGAACAATAGACCCTTCAAGTTAGTTCTTTAGTTTTCTTCGCCTCGCTCCACATCTTTCTGGAAATTCGTGTTTTGAAAAAAAATTTCTTTCTCTTTCTCTGTGCTTTTTTCGTTTGTGTGGGTATTTCACAATCAGTTATAAGTGTTGGGCGATAAAAATGGATGCTGATGGGACAAGCGCGAAGAGAACGATGTTGCATGATCTCTACGGAAAGCAAAAGCAGAGCCCCTATTATGACAATCTTTGCCGTCCTGTTACAGATTTGCTTCCATGGATTGCAAGAGGAATCAGAGGAGTCACTAGCAATCCGGCGGTAATTAGTGCAGTAACTTCATTCAGTGCTATCTTAAACTGGGATTGTATTGTTTTCATACTATTTCTGCGTGACAATGTAGGATTTTGATTTTAGTTTGATGCTCGAATATGCAGATTTTGGACAAAGCCATATCATTATCCAATGCCTACAACGAGCAATTGAGGTAATTTCATTCGTACTTGTACCATCGCAAAATTTACTATCAGGGTTAAGAAAAATTGCATGTGCAAGGAGGTGTTAAAAGGTTCCCAAAAAAAAAAAGTATCAATAGAATAATTAGTTCTAAATTCAGGTAGAAATTGTGGTCTATGACTTAATGGGTTTATGGATAGACTAACACTATCTATAACATTATTGGGACTATTTTTTGCAACTCCCAAATAAGGGGGACGGACACTAAATTTTAACAATAGAATTGGATTTTAAGATAATGAAAAGATGTTTAGAACTTCGAACGAGAGACTGATTTTTTTTTAAATACTATTTCTCTCTCCCCTACATCAATTAAGAGATTAAGAAAAAAGATTAGAGTTTCTTATGCATAGGATTAACAAAGGTGCGATTGGAGTTTTTGAAAACTATGATTTGTAAGAAGAGTTTTCTAATCTTTTCATTCAAGATTGTATCCAAAGAACGTTTTGCAATTTTTTTTCTTCGCATTTGTATAAAGAGAGGTTTGCAATTTTCTTGGTAAAAAATCATAAGAGTTATAAATTTTTGTGGGGTGGAAAAAGAATTCAAGTCCATTTAAGGAATCAAATTACGTTAAATATTCGTGCTATTTTCTCTTTTCTTTATCTTGTGTATTTCTGCCGTTGGGTTCCCAGCATAGTTATATATAAGCCGGGTGAAAGTTGCGGCCTGTAGCTTATATGGATAGCCTACTACGATCTGTAACACACAGTTCAACCCATTTGAACGGTGAAGTTTGTAAGATCTCAACTAGGAAAAACAAGGAACGCAATTTTTTGCTTCTGTAGATCCAGAATGGGCAACAAATGATGCTTGACTTTCTGGCAATTAGCATCATTTCTTTGATTTGTGGTCAAGCAGGGAATTAGTTAAGTCAGGGAAAGACATGGAAAATGCCTACTGGGAATTGGTTGTGAAGGACATACAAGATACCTGCAAGCTCTTGGAGCCTATCTACAATGAAAAAGATGGGGAAGATGGGTACGTGTCTGTTGAAGTTTCCCCCAAACTGGCAGACGATGCAAGAGAAACAACTGAGCAAGCAAAATGGCTCCATAAAAAGGTTGGATGTCCTAATGTTTATATAAAGATTCCAGCAACTGAAGAATCCCTTCCTTCTATAAAGGAGGTCATTTCTCAGGGGATAAGCGTAAATGTCGCTGTAAGTGTTTCATGTGCATTCTAGTGTTATGAAACCTTGGTCATCCAGCAAAAATATGACTGTTGTTTGTGTGTTTGGACAGCTCATATTCTGTCTCTCTAAATATGAAGCAGTCATTGATGCTTACTTAGATGGGCTTGAAGCTTCTTCCGTCACTGACCTTTCTATGGTTCAAAGTGCGGCAGCTTTTTACATCAGTAGAGTAGATAGCGTAATCGACAAGATACTCACAGGGATCGGTACTGTTGAGGCTCTAGGTCTAAGAGGAAAGGTATGGAGCATCTATCAAACTTGTGGAAGGAAACCCGAGTATTTGTCCTCTTTCATATTGGCTTCTGTTTTTTTCCTGACATTGTTTTACAAATTGTTTAGGCTGCAGTAGCTCAAGCAGTTTTAGCTTACCAGATTTACCAGAAGAAGTTTTCTGGTCCAAGATGGGAGCGTCTGGAGAAGAGAGGTGCCAAGAAGCAGAGGCTGATGTGGGCCTCAACAAATGTGAAAAATCCAACTTACCCTGACACCCTATATGTTGCTTCTCTTATTGGACCAGATACGGTGAGCTATCTCGCTTTTCTACTGCCTTCATCGATGAATCAGTGTGCAGAAGTTTTGAGAAATTCTCAGTAGACTGAGTTTAGAGAACAAGTAAACTATAAACGTGTGAGTGTGTGTGTCCAAATTAAATCTTTCACTCATATATAATCATGTATTTGTAGAGTAACGCAATAGAATTGATTGTGAGACCTGCAATTTTTCAATGTAACTTATGCAGTTACTCGTGCTAATTGCAAATAATTTTAATTGAACTATATAAATTAGATCCCCTATAATCATGCAATCATGCTTTTGAAGAAAAAAGTGATACAAAAACGTATGACTGTGTATTGAATTCACTTATATTTACACTCATTTTTTAATCTCTCTCTCTCTCTAAATGTGACAAGTACTTGAGTGAGCTATGGAACCCTACCAAAAGTTGACTATTGAAACTAATGAAAGTTGGTCCAATTAGTAAGGATATGACTCATATCGCACTAGGGTATGAGTTTGAATTCCATTGTTACTGAGTAATATATAAGTATCTTAATATTCACTCTGAGTCAAGAGGCTTGTCTTGACTTTGGTGAGTTCTCAGGATTCAACTTATTTAAATTTTTGTTCACAGAATTTAAAAAAATGGTTAGCTATTGAAGTGAGAAAGCCAACCTACTTATATACCATATTGATACTAAGTGTATTTAAGGGTGTGCTTGGTTTTGAGGGGGAGGAGGGGAGGGATTTTAATAGAGGGAAGGTGAGGGATCAGATTGTAATAGAGGAAAGGGGAGGGTTTTAATGTTACCTTATTTGGTTCAAGAGGGGAGGGAAGGAAAAATAAGTACATATAAACAACTTTACTCTTATGTTATTAAAAAAATTTTCTAATAAAATCTAGTTATGAATATTTTTAACATGTAATTATAAGTATGTAGAGTAATTATCATTATTAAATATATTATTAAAAATCTATCATTGTTGAACTTGTTTAAAAAGATGAAGAATAAAAATTAAAAGAGGAGGCATATTAGTCATTGTACAGTAAAAATATATCTCTCCTTTCTCAATCCCCCCAATTTGGAGGGGAGGGGAGAAAATTATCCCCTCCCCTTTTCCAAACCAAATAAGGGAAGGAGAGCAAAATTCCTCCTCTCCCCCCAACCAAACAGAGATTAAGCATCCCAACTTTTCATCGTTTTGTATCTGTAAACAACAAAAAGATCCAGATTGGAATATGCAAATGGGATCCTCTATGGTTACACTTTTCAGCAGCATTTTGAAATGTTTACTTCTTTTTTTTTTTTTGACAGCTTGTTTCACAAAACTTTTTTTAAATGAATTACCTGCCTAAGAATTTTTATAGATTTGCCACGAAAATAAATGCGAGAATCATAACAAATTTGGATTGATTGTAAGAGAAAGTTGACAGAAATATAACTTTCTCAATATTGCTTGCTGTCTCTGCAGATTTCAACCATACCAGAGCAAGCTCTAAAAGCATTTATGGACCATGGTATTGTTTCAAGAACCCTAGACGCAGAAGTCTCGGAGGCCCAGCGCATATACAACGCAATAGAGAAGTTGGGAATTGATTGGAATGATGTTGGATCACAGCTAGAAAGTGAGGTGCTGGATTCTTTCACAAAATGTTTTGACAATGTTCTTGAATGCCTGCAGAGGAAGGCTAGGTCTAGTGAATTCATCCCTGCTAGTGTTTAGCCTGCTCTTGCGTTCTGTATGATCACCATAACTCTAAGGCCAAATAGGTGTAAGCATATTTAGTTTCTGTTTATCTTACGTGGGAGGAGTAAGTCATGCAAGTGAAGCATTCACTTTTTTTTCTTTTCTTTTTTTTGGGTAAAATTCAGATTTTCAATGCAACCCATCTACAATTAGAGTATACAAGTGCTAGTTTTTCTATTGATTACTTCACCTGCCTCATTTGAAAAAGATTTCGGGTTTAAACCTAACATTGGCATGTTTGTTGGCATGTTTTCCTTTCTTATAGAGGAGAGTTAAGTTAGGGTAAATTTTTTTATTTTTTTAAAAAGTTATGAGTATATAGAAAAGAGTGTCAAATAACTGGAGAAAAGAGTAAATGTGAAAAGCAAATTGGGAAACAATGCTTCAATGATTTGTATAAATGACCTAAAATTGCTTCCGCCTTATAAATATGAATAGATTAAGTAGCAAGATTGAATAGAAGAAAAATTGATTTTTTAAAAAGGTTGAATGTTCAAATCTATAAAAATTTAGTTAAAAGGTTATTGTTTAAGGTTTTGAGGACTCAATAATTAACATCATTTCAGTGGATATACATTTGGAAACTTATTGAGAAAAAAAAAATTAAAGTATGCATTTAGTCATTTAAATTTACATAAAATTTTATTTTAATTTTTTAATTTTATAAAGTATTTTTTCAATCCTATAATTTTAATACTATTTGTTTTATCACAAATTTACATTTTTAAAATATTGACAAAAATATTAAAAATTGATATATTAAGTTTAATTTTTTAAAATAATAATAATTTATATAAAAATAATTATTTAAAACTAATAGTGTGAGGTTACAAAAATAAAAAAAATATTTTATAAAATTGAAAAATCAAAATAATATTTTAGCTACAAAGAAAAAAAATTAAAGAAAAAATTATCTTCAAAAATTTTTTAAAAAATATTTGTAAATAATAACTAATAACAAGTCGTTATTTAAAAAAAACAATTCTTTAATATTATTTTATGATTTTAATAATAATAATAATTTTATATTAATTTTGTTTAATGAATAATTCTTTTGAAATGTTTTTAAACGTGATTATCCCAAAATACAATTGCGTCCAAAGATTGTCCGTTGTCGCTCAACAGGGCGAAGTAAAGGAAGAGATGGAAAGCAAGGGAAAGGGGCTTGTGTCTGTGTGGGAGTGCGAAGGCCACGCTTGCCACGTAGGCTTCAGAACCACTCTTATCTTCTTCTTCTTCTTCCCTCACAGTTCTTCATCTGTGATTCACACCAAATCCCAACAATCATGGCCCTGCAGATGCAGGTTCCCACCGCCACCTTTCACCCTCCCAAATCCATTTCTTCTTCATTTGCCCCTCCTCCTAATGCTGGCCTTCGATCACCCTCTGATCCTTTTGCTCTCAAATCGTCTTTCTTCTGCGGTTCTATTAATCTCTTGCTTCTGCCTAATCATCGAAATCTTATTTCCCGAGCGCCCAGGATTTCCATGCGCGTCGCTTCCAAGCAGTCCTATATCTGTCGTGATTGCGGGTTCCTCTCATCTTTTCCATCAACTTCATTGCAGCTTGTAAATTAAGAGTATGATCAGTGGAATGTTAGTTTATATGCAGTAATTTTTTCTTCTATATTTTATTGATGCAGCTATATTTACAACGAGAGGACTCCCTTTGAGAAATTGCCTGATAATTACTTCTGCCCCGGTAATTAACTACTTCACTCTCGCTACTGATGCAGGATTTTTTTCCCTTTTTTAATTTGTTCCCTAATTTTTGTTAATTGTCTAGAGAAGCATGTGATTTTATCATGTGCGCAACAATCTTAGTCGTGTACTTCATTCTGAAGGAGAAACAGTGAAATAACCGAATACACTGAACTGTGTGGGTTTGTCTAAAGGAAATGTTACAATGTTCTTGGCTCTTCTGCTGTTTACTTGTTGGGTGGATTGAAAGATAATTGAAGAATAGAGAAAACCAATAGATATCATCACGTTTACATACGATAATGACAGTCATGAGAGAAGAAAATGAAGGTTAAATGGGTTGGTGCATGTCCTTAGAAAAGAAGGGATGGTAATTGAGTTGAACTGAAATGAATGTGCAGTGTGTGGTGCTCCAAAACGAAGGTTTAAGCCATACGCACCAGCAGTGGCGAAAGATGCCAATAGTACAGATGTGAGAAAGGCGAGGAAAGCCGAGCTTCAGAGAGATGAAGCAATTGGGTAAGTAAAGCCGACAATACAAGTCCTAATTTTTGATCTCCATGCCTAGCAAGCATCAAAGATTGATGATGTGTAGTAACAATGCAATGTAACATCTCTGTGCACAGGAAGGCTCTTCCTATTGCAGTGGTGGTGGGGATTGTGGCCCTTGCTGGGTTATACTTCTATCTGAACAGCCAGTATTAGGATCTTTTCTGTTCTTGTTCCTTCTATATCTGAATTATAGACTCTCGGATTTTCTCCCTCTTCTTCTGCTTTTGTTGTTCACCTGTCCTCTGATTCCTTTTTGCTCCCTTTCTTCACTTTCCCTTGTGTTGTAAGCAGAAGCATGAACTACGGAAAAAAAAGGTGACAATCAATCTCATGTATCTTCCCAAATGATTATCTTATAATAATTTAATCAAGTGCTTTTTACTCAGTCTAGCACCCCAATGCTCTATGGCTTTATGCCCAATCAAATTAAATTAATACTTCTTCGATCTTATATATAATATATTTTTTGAGAAGTATTACTTCTATTAAAAATATAAGGTATTTTTTGGAGAGTTAGATGTTAAAAAATGTAAAACATTTTTAGTTTTTTAAAGTGTAATCATTGTTTTTTTTTTCAAAGTGTCCTATTGATAATGATTTTATATTTATTGTAAGATATTTAATAGAAGTAAATATGAAAAGATGGGGTTAGTTGAAAAATAGATAACTATTTTATTGAGGGTTAGATTCAGTTAAAAATGCCTTACATTTTTTAAACAAAAGGAGTATTATATTTCAATATATAAATCATTTTATGAAATTTTTAGGGTAATTAATATCTTTTTATTTAAATATTCCTTTGAGTAAATCAAAATTACTTGCCTAAAAAAGGTAACTGTTAAAAACAATTAATGAATGATAAGTACTAAAAGGAAAAAGTGGAAAAAAATGTGCACTCTAAGCTAAAAAAAAGTGTCTCTGTTTCTCTTAGTATATGAGCTTTAGGTAAAAATTCTTTATAATATGAAATAAATGGAGTATCTATTTTCACATTGAACTTGTATGAATTGTACTTACGTAGTTTGAAAAATAAGCTATGCTACTTAAAATGGAGTATCTTTAGATAAAAGCATGAAAGTTAAGTTATGCTATTTATATAGTTTTGTGAATTGTACGGCCTATTAGAATTTTTATATTATAGGCTATATGATAAAACTTTGTATGCATTCAATGGAGCCAAAAAGAAAAATCGTGAAAGAAATAAAATTTGGGAAAATTGTTAGTAAACCTCTTCCTGGAATCAAAATTGTGTTTGGAAGACCAAATGACTAGAGTGCAAACAATAAACTCAGGATGTAAGTAAATAGGTTTGGAATTTCATAACTCTTTGCTTGCACCCTTAGCCTATCTTTTTGTACCCAAGTTTTTTAGTTCTCTAGCACAATTTCAGTTCTAAAAAGGGATTTACTAGCAATTTTTCATAAAGTTTCAAATATACAAAAACACAATATATTCTCCAAATTATAAGCTAATGTGTGATATTTAATTTTGCTTTAAAATTTTAATTGTTTCAGTATAATCTAACTTTCTTCAGTTCTCGTGCTAAAATTTTCATTTAATCAATTGAAATTTCCAATTTAACGGACGCAATGTATCTTCTCCTAATACTTCCTCTAACCAAAACTTATTATATAAGGAATTGACCAAAATAAAATATGAGAAAACAATTTCACTATTTTTTTATATGGCTATATGATATTTAGCATTACCAAATCATATTCAAGCATTGTTAAACCAATTGAAAAGTAGAAATTAAAAAAAAACTTAATTATTGATTGACATAATTATATATAAAGGGTTTCCATAATTACATAGCATCAACAGCATTAGATGTTCCTCTCATCAACTTCCCAAGAGAATCACTATGCACAGTAGCTTCAAACAGAGGAATCTCACCTCCTTCAGCCTCAGCAAAGCAGTAAACGGGAGCCTGCCACTTCTCGTCCTCAAGCACTGCCCCAACCTCAAATGTCATCACATGAGCAATCATTCCTGCACTCCCCAATATAAGAACAGCTCAAAACATTTCACTATTCATATCACTAATGTGTCACTTTATTCACCACATCTTTTGCATTTATATGTTTATGCATTAAGATGACTATTAAACAAGCGTCTGAATGGATTTGGTCTTCAAGGTAAACCTATGAGTTCACGTTCAGAAGCGGAAATAGATGTCTGAATGATTAACGCGCGTCATCTCTAAACTGGTATATTCCCGTTTAATGCATTCACCTTTATACTATTACTATTAATAATTAATAATTAATATAGGTGGTGGATTGCAGCTTATTTCGATTTCAAATAATGTGATTGTTCAGTGATTATGTATATACATGGATGATTGTGGAAGGAAAGGAACACTGGAGTACCTGTATAGAAGATCCACTTGACAGGTCTGTGAGTAAGGACGTCCTCGTAGTACCAGATAAAGTCGACTTTCTGCCACAAATTACAGAGGAAGTTATCGACGTAATGCTTGCCAAGATAGGTGGCGCCGTCAAGCCAATTAGGGCGGAGAATTCCGACGGGGAAATGCAAAATCCTACATTTCTGATTGGAAGGATCGAGAGTGTAGATGTAGGAGGTGCCGTTGTCCCATTCGAGGTCGTATTTGAGCTCTCCCAGCTGATTCTGGATGATGTTGAAGTTGCGACCGTTGGGCCAGTCGTACCAGAGGTCCACTTTCTGGAGTTTTCCGGTGTTGTTCATGAACAGAAACGAGTGGAATTGAAGGGGCCAAGGAGTCGGAGTTGGATCCCCAGTCGGGTTCGTCGTTGCCTTTGAAGGGAAGAGGAACGAGGAGGAGAACAGAAGGAGGAGTAACGCTGAGAAAGAGATGGCTTCTTCCACTGAAGACGCCATTCTCCCCTTCCAAGAATTTGCAGGAGAGAAGAGTGAAAATTGGAGAAGATAAGAAATAAGAGGTTGCTTTCTTTCAATTCCGCAAGTTCTTCAAACAGCGAACAGTGAAAAACAGTTCTTGCCCCTTCGGGTGATGAAGATGGGATGCGCCGTTAAAACCAGTTCACGGTTTGTCGAACGGCATATTCTTTTTTTGAGCAACAAAAATTATAATTTAACATAAAACTTATAAATTTATTTCATAATTTATAATTTGATAATATATTATATATTTTTGCCTCTTTATCCCTTATTTCTTTTCATTTCCCAATGTTTATCATGTACAAAAATGAATAAGTTATAGTTTTAAAACACTAATTTTTTTAAAAAAATTGTTATCGGTTCATTGACTGGTTCTAATAGTTCATAGTTCTATTCTTCCCTGATTCTTAATTGATTGGTAGAATCATCTTGCCCTATCCAATTCTTATAACATTATAAAAAAAAAAAAACCCAAATGTCACCAGCTAACTTCAACTTATATACACATGCAAATCAATAATTAATATACTTTTAATAAAAAAATTTAATTAACTAATCTAGGTCCTCTATTTCAAAAGATCTATAATTTATTGGATATTTTTACTGCTTCTTTTTTTTTTTTCTCTTAACACTGTTATTATCTATTTTTTTTTAACGTTTCATTATACATATTTGACTTTTTATTAAAAAAATTTATCATTTTAGAATTTTTGTAATTTTTTTAGAATTATCATTATTTTAAAATTTTTAATTAGGAGTTAATCATTTTTCTTATTGGACCTTTGTTTTTAACCATTAGTTCATTATATTAAGAAGATTTAAATGAACTGAGTAGACTCATCAAGATCTCCGCATGCTTTTACACTCATTGCAATCTGAATCTTTCATTATCTCTTTCTATTAGTAAGAGAATATTTAAAATGGCCCCACTTTTTTTTGTTTTTTGTTTTTTTTTTTGAGGGAATAGCTCCATCAAATTAGTGAAAAGGCATTCCAGAGTATTTTAAGTAAAATACTACTTACATTTTACCATATCATTTCACTATTTTTAAGAAACAACAAATAAGTTGGAATAGAAAGAGGATATCATACAAAATTTTAAAACACACTTATAAATGATATGATTATAACTTAAAAATAATGTAATAAAATACATTTATAAAACACAAATCCGAAAAGCAGGAATTTACCTATGCAAAACAAAAAAAAAACATAAATAAATATATAAAGGTGTTGATTGTTGAACATGACGCAGCAACAACTTCAAACTGATTGTGAACTCATGCTCATAATGTCATCAGACATGGTCTGAACTCGCAATCACTTGAGTGCTTGAAAACACCTCTCTGGATGCCACATCAATGGATTCATCAGGTCCATTCTAGTTAATTCTATCATTTTCATCTCAATACAAAAACATGAATAAATTGCTTCCCATTCACACACAACCAGATTTCTTAGCTTCTCTCTAGCAAGCTCTATTTTTATAACTATAACCCCCAAAAACACATCTTCTCAGAACTTGATCTCTCTTCTCTCTGCAAAGAACTTGCCAGTAATGGCTTGATCAGGAAGAAGGGCAAGCCAGACACCAGTATCAGCACCTTCCTCAACAGTCATGTTCCCTGCATAACCTGTGAGAGCGGTCTTCACCCAACCTGGACAGTAACAGTTTATGTAAATCTTCTCACCATCTGGCCTCTCTAACAGCTTCTTTGCCATGAATCTTGTGTATGCATTCACCGCCAGCTTCGACACCGTGTAGTCTGTGTGTGATGGAGGCCATCCTCCTTCCTTCCATGTCCCATCTTCTGCTTGCTGCAGAAATTTGTTCACCATCCCATCAATCACTTCCTCTGTCAGGTTTTCTTCATCGCTTAGTTGTGCCTTCACTTCTTCATTCTCCAGTTTCTGCCACTCACTCAATCCATCATCAGTTTCCACAACCAACACAATACTATAAGAAATGGCATGAGATTCAATGGGTTTGATATACTTCTTATCTAAATAACAACTTATATGTATGCTCATGCATATCTATTGTAGACTAAGAAGGCTTCTGATATAGTAAACTCTTTCGCCATGTTGAGCAAGTTTTGTGCAATTTTACGTTCCAGAATGTGAATCTTTGGGTAGAAAAAGCATGTTGAATTGCAATATCAACAGTAGAATCAACAAGCAAGAGATCATGATAGAATCAACTGGAGAGGGTAGGCACAAGAAGATATCGGATAATAGAAATTTAAAAAGAAACTAGTACATTACTTACATTTCGCTTGCTACTTAGTCGACTGAGACGAGTGCTCACATTTACAATGCGAGCACAGTGAGAAGAAGGCTTCATCAATGGGATCATAGCTTCGATCATCCTCTTGGTACCGAAGTAATTTGTTTCACAAACCATACGGGCATTCTCAACAGAGTTATCAGATCCAAAGTTGAAGTTAACACCAGCATTGTTTATCTGCACACAACAATAACATCAAGGGCCATTTCTTCCACATGGATATATCTTGGAGATTTGAAATGAAAACAGAGTAGAAGAAGAAGATATATGTAACTGACCAGAATATCTAGACCACCATGTTTTTCCTTCAACCAGTCGGTAAAATCGCTGATGGACGAAGAGTCTAATATATCAAGCTGGTGACAGTCAACATCAAGGCCACCTTCTTGCAAGACCTTGGTGGATTCAACGCCAACACTAGCATCTCTGGATGTGAGGATCACAGTCAATCCATGGCCGGCAAGCTGTCTGGAAATCTCAAACCCAATTCCTCTGTTTCCCCCGGTGACAACAGCGACAGTTTCCTTGGACCACCACCTGCGAATCCTCCGATTTTGTGAAGAACTATGACATATATGAAATCCAAACGTGAAGATTGGAAAGAGAAGAACCTCTGATGATCAGAATAAGGGATAGTTCGGAGGAGGGAGATCTCTTGGCGTCGCTTGTCTTTGGATTTGTCTCTGTCTTTGTGCCCCATGTCTGTGTCTCTGTCTGTGTCTTAGTTTGAGTGGGATTCATTCATTCATTGAGGTAATTCATTTCCTTGTAGGGAAAGAAAAAGAAGGCATGGTCAACGCATGCCACGTGGCTGGTCCATGCTGTTCGGTCAACGTGGTTGAACTATACTTCAGCTCTTCTTCCCACTAACTTTGCTTCCGCTTCCTCCGGCCACCTCCCTCCACAACCATTAATTCCCTTGTTTTATATATGTAGTTTAACTATATGTTAGTTCTCCGGTTATATGTTTGGTTTTAACTTTTAATACCCACACACATGCAATAATAGTGTAATATATTTTTACCGACAGTCAACCAAGTTGGAGGGTTTCAAATTTATGGACAGAAAAAAGAGGTATACTCTTGATTAAGTCTCAAAATATTTGAATGTGATCTAAGAAAAAGCAACATATTTGTATGAACAAAGTTAACCTCAATTTCTTTCTATATTTTATAATAAAGAGTTTAGGTAAATTGAGTTTTAAATATTTACATAATAGACTCACTCACTTATATTTGTATTGATAATATAAAAGGTTTTTTTTTCAGGTTTAATAAGCATTATACCCTCTAAAATATTATACAAATAGCATCCTAAACTTATAAAATATGTAAAAACTTTGATTTAAACTTTTAATTTTGTTGCATCTGACCCTCCAAACACTAAGGGTAAAAGATGGCACTTTTTAGGTGATGGTTCCACTTATATGCTAATATGATATTTATATCTCTTTGCCTCTTAGGGACGATTGTCTCCTCTTCCTCCCTTCCTTTTCTCTCTCATCATGGACGATCCTTCATTCCCCTTTCTTTGTCTTCACTGCTGCTTGCTCTTCCTCCATTGCCGCTGCCGAGCATCTCAAACCCGATCAAAGCCAGCAGAGGGGATAAAACAGTAAAGAAGGATTTTATCGCAGTTCCTCAGAATCAAAAGTCATGAGAAGAATGTTAATGGCGGTTCCTCAATTATTGAAGCATTCATAGATATGCCATAGCTAATTAATCTTGTTAATATTAATTTCTCCTTACCATATATAGCTAGCAGCTAGTCTGTATGAGAAGCTATTCATTTTATGCAGCTTCATCATTGACGGAAGAAAATACATATTTAATTATATAAAACCTCATCAAGGTTGATAATGGAAAAGCTGATGTATCATCCTTCAAGTTATCGATATGCATGGGGCTCGTCATACATAACAAACATTGGTGAGCATTATATATCTAATCAACTTTCTGGTACAGGGAATGTGAGTGTTGATGCTATCAGTTTCATTACCAGCACCACTCTAGCCACCGAAGTGAGGTAAAGGCGTCAGACAAGAAGACTGCATAAAAGCGTCGTCACTGCAAGTGGGTGTATTCTTTTGTGCCTTGTACATCGTAGCAGTAGGAGCAGGTGGAACTAAGCCAACCATCTCAACCTTGGGAGCTGACTAGCTCGACGACTTTGAGCCAAAGGAGGGTTCGAGGTGCTCGGCAGCGGCGATGGAGGGAGAGTAAGCAGCAGTGAAGACGAAGGAGAAAGAAAGGGGAATGACGGACCGTCCATGATGAGAGACTAAGGGAAGAGAAGAGGAGGCAAATAGATATGAATGCTAAGTGGCTCCACTATGTAAAAAGTGCCGGTCATTTCTTAGGATTTGGATTCCATGCCTGGAGCAAATCCGCGCATCCAATGCGTGGCAATTTTACAAGCATAAGATCGAATTAACAATCAAAGGTAAATGCACATGAGAGGAGTGAGAGAACTAGTGGGTATTTTCACATATCAGTACTTATTTTCTTCTTTTTGAATCACCCTTAATCAAGATGATGAAGATGGCAATTAATCTAAAGTGAAGCAATTAATAGCAAGACAAAGCAATATGATTTCAATTTTGGATCCATGCTTCAATTCTGAAATATTATTATTAGGTTTTAAATTCTTTCTACTTCACTCACAATTTTTATCTCTCAGAAACTTTACAGTTATATTTTCAGGTTGTTCAATAATGAACTTCATTTCTTAGATTACGTTAAAGATAATGAAAAACCATATATTTTAAATTATAATGGTATAGTATTTTTAAAATGCACCCTTTCTGCAGAGTTTGTATTATAATATAGGTTATGTTGGTTTCAATTTGAAATCAAAAAATTCAAAAGCATATGTATCAATAGATCATGGAATCAAAATCAGTTTTCTTATTCTCATGGAATCTCTCAAAAATTTAAAGAATAAGGAAGTAGAATCCAAATTTTGTTTTGTTGTGGGATCAGATCTTTCAAGCTCGTAAATGAAAATGAGTGAAAATAAGAGTGCCTACTTCCTCTCTTGTGCATTTACCTCTGACCGTTGACTTAATCACACACTTATAAATTTTCCACATGTCACCATGCATTGGGTGCACGTATTTGCTCCACGCATGGAATCCAAATCCCACTTTTCTCGTACTTAATATTTGGCATCTGATGTTACAAATTTTAAAATTTAATAAAATTTTTGGTTAAGATATTCGCACAATAATTTATAAAATTTCTTGTCCATTAATCCTTTTTTCATAGAATTAATAAACATGATTTACATGCAGCAGGTACTCAAAGAATATAATAACATAATTTAACCTAAAATGTTGGGAATTAAATCATTTAAAAATTTAAGAGATTTAATATTTGGACGTCAGATGTTACAAATTAAATAATTTAATAAAATTTTTACACATTTTAAGAATTTAAGATACATGATGTTATTCACACAATAATTTAAAAAATATATTTTTCATTAATCCTTTTTTCATAGAATTAACAAAAATGATTAACGTGCAGCAGGTACTCAAAGAGTATAATAACATAATTTAACCAAAAATTTTGGGAATTAAATCATTTACTGTGTAGGCGTTTTGAAAATTAAATTAGGTTGAAAAAAAAAGCTAAATTATCATAGCAACGTTGAATTTGAGGTAAAGAAAACCACGTTGAATTTTAGATTATGTGTAAACAGTATTTATAATTTATAAGACTTGACAATGATCCCTTCGAATTTTTTTATTTATGAAAAAATAAAATAATTATTTTTAATTATTTTAATAATAAAATATTACAATTTCAAGTTTAAAACAATTATCTGCACACATTACTGAAAATTTAGGGAGTTATTAATATAAAATCTAAATGAAAGCCATGGTGATTGATACATCGCATTATGTTAGTAAAATAATAGATTAATTATTAGGAAAGTTATTGGCATATAGTTCAAGATTTTAGCAAGTTGTATGTAATTAATCCGATAAAATATCTAAATCCAATAATTTGGAAAATGTTATTTTGAGTTTTGACTCCAAAATAGCATGTTTCTAGCTCAAAATTGAAAAATCAAATGGTCAAGAAAAATGACATATTTTTAAAATAACTTGAATGTAAATGTTATATTTTGAAATTTACATGTAAATTTAAATGAGAATATTATATAAAGAATTGCTTAAAAAGTTCCCAGGTTCATCGGTCACAAATAAGGTCATTCTTGTATCGTCTAATAACTGAAGGAAACCAATGTATTTGACATATATAGTCAATAAAATAATCATAAAGGAATCATGATTATAGTTTACACTACCACAAAAACAATCTTTAGTATCGCACATCTGATGGTAGTTTCTTAAACAATAGTTACAGATTAAATGGTTCAAGAGTTCCCAACAACTTTAGACTGTTTCAGAGCTAAACAGTGACAGATTCAACATGCCCTCAATTTAATTAATGAGAATTGACAAGTTATGGTAAGATTTACTGAGAGAATACATGTGCGCTAACTGAACTGCAAAATCTAATCTAAGTTAAAATTTTGGCTGTAGTATTATCAAGACTCCTCATAAAGACCTTAACCAATTGTTGCTTTAAGATATAAAGAATTTGATCTTATTTAGTTTCTTATAATAAATAAGAGATGGGCTTTTGCCCTATTGTCAATAAAAAAAAAATTTAAGTCTTTAAGATATGATTTACATCTTGATATGAGGTTCGTTTTTTTAAATTTAAAAATAAATAATTTTTATATAGTTTATGAATTTAATACAAATATATTTATTTTATAAATATAAAAAATCAGACATTATTTTATGTTTGGTTGTAATAATAAAAATAATTATTAATTAGTTATTTTTAAATCATGACATATAATAATTTATTATTTTAAAATTTTATGATATCTTTATATATTATGCCTTTTTGAAACATTATCTTTCATATATCATATTAGATTATTTTTAAAAGATATTTAAAGTAATTTTTTTAAATAATTAAATATTTTTTTGGGATTCTGATTATTTTTAAAATCCTAAACAAATATCATAAAAGCTTATAAAATATATTTTTTAAAAAATAAATGACTTTTTCATAAAACAATTACAACAAACTGGCCTATAATTGGTCGAATTAGAATAGGCAATTACTTGATGTGCATAAATCTTCTAAAATGAGAACAAATATAAGTAACTGTAGTATAAATTAGGTAACTTAGCTTCCTCTCCCACGGGGGACTGTTATAAGCATTGTCTAGAGTACTCTCAAGAATTAATTAGCCAAAAAAAGTACTCTTAGAATTAAAGCTTATTTCTTTCATCAAATGTGATATTTTTTTTTTATAACAATACCAAATGAAAAAACCACATAATGGGTGTTATATTTCAAACACGACATATTTAATAAGAGATATTTGATATGAATTTTATTTTTTAAAAATAAATTAATAATTTTGAATCGGCTGAACTGAAAAAAGATATAATGTTTCATAAATACATTCCTTGTTTTAATAATTTTTTATTTTTTATTAAATTATTTTGAAAAAATTTTGAATTTAGTGATTTTTTTATCACTCAAAATTATTAAATAAAAATATGATTTTAATTGATATATTTACTTAAAAACAGTTATAATGTATTTTCATCATTACCTTTATATTCGTGTAATTTAGATATTCATCATAAAAAAGATCCAAATGAAACAAGAAAGTAATCAAACTACTGATATAGTGATCTTGAATAACGAATAAATACATTGAGGATTTTTTCTTTTTTTGACCAAAGATACAATGGGGATTTTGAAATGATCACATTCCAAATTTGAAAATTAATATACAATCTCCAAACTTCACTCAGATTAGAAGTCTTCAACTTCCGAGTCATGGTCTTACTCGGACTTCAAATTTCCAATACTGTTGAGCTATACAAGGTGTACTGCCGTCCAAAGATCCAAGCCCATTCAACCCAACCCAAATCTCACATGATAATATTACATGGTGATAGTTCGGTAAATCATTCGTTGTGGAAAACAGGAAGCGGCAAATCCATCAACGTTCAACTGTACAGGTGCAACGAATTCAAGGTCAGATTGTTTTTTTGCACTTGTGGGGAAGAATATCCAATAAGATCGGCTCTTCGTTCTTCCTTATTCTTCCGCTTTTTCTCTTTTACCCTTCTTTGTTGTGGGAAAACCTGTCAAATTCAAGACTCTGCTTGACGATTAGCCTTAAGAAAGGTCTTCGATTCTGGAGACAATGTAAAGTTTCTTCCTTGTGCAGCCACAATTGCAGGGGAAGAAGAGAAAGCTAGTTAAATTGGCTCATTGGATACTAGTATTACTGATATTTATCGAAGCGGAAGTTAAAACTGTCCCCAATTGCAAGTTTTTGTTTCAGGTAACTTCCCGTCTTGACGAGATTTTGGCCTTCAATTCAATCGCTATCATCGGCAGGATTTTCTGTTGATATTTCTAGATATATTTGAACATGGAAGTTTAGCCACTAGTCAGGTGTCTATCAGAGGTCTTTTTTTGTGACGTGTGCATTTTGACCCTACTAAGCTGAGATAGTTGCATTCGAAATTGAGTTCAAGTTCAGAATATATTGGGAGTTTCTTTCTACAAAATTGAGAGTATATAAAGAGTGTCTGGGGCTGGCCAGGCTATGGACGCCGATCGTGTGGGTTATTCCAATGTGGACGCGAAAGCGAAATCCAAGGCTTTAGGGAATTCCACCGTTGCCCAAGCTTCCGATCATGGCGGCGTAGGCGGTGGTCGTAGCAATTCCGTCAGGAAAAAGGGATCGGTTTCGATTGATCATGTCCTCCTTGCTTTACGTGAAACCAAAGACGAGAGAGATCTTCGAATTCGTAGCCTCTTCAATTTTTTCGATGCTGCCAATAATGGGTATCTGGATTATGTTCAGATTGAGGCTGGCCTGTCTGCCCTACAGATTCCGTCTGAGTATAAGTATGCTAAGGATCTCTTTAAGGTCTGCGATGCCAACAGAGATGGCAGAATTGATTATCATGAGTTCCGACGATACATGGATGATAAGGAATTAGAACTTTACCGCATCTTTCAAGCTATTGATGTTGAACACAATGGCTGCATTCTTCCAGAAGAGCTTTGGGATGCGCTTGTTAAGGCTGGTAATCTTCTAGTTAATCCCCCCTCTGTGTGTGTGTTTGCGTGTTTTCTACCCCTCATTGCATTCAGTTTGGTTTTTGTCATTGACTGTTACTATGTTGCCTTTCTCTGTTGCGTTATGTTTTTGTTTTTATTTGCACCAGGATCTTACTTATTATAATTGCCGTACCTTTTGTTCTGTATGCTTTTGTGCTTTTGAAGTTTTTAGTGATGCAGTTTGTTTGATGTGGCTCTGTACCATTGTCCTTTTGCGTAGGCGAGTCAAGATATGTTTACATAACTATTTCTCTCCCTAAACTTTCATTGCCTGTGGTTTTAATATCAAGTGGAAACCGTAGTAGAAGTGTTTGAAAGCATAGTGACGTTTGTTTGGTGGTGTACACTTCATAGTTACTTCAAACTGGTGTGGATACTCTAATTAGGAAGCTTTTCTCTTGTAATGAGAAACTATTTGGTTTTTTTTATTTTATTTTAATCTGAAGATTAATCTTTTGATCTGCATGGGGGAGGCCTATTCTGTATTCAGAGACTTATTTCCTTGATTTCATTTTTTTTTAAATGGAAAAATCTGTGTCATCTCTTTAATAAATTTTAGAGATGGCATTCTTACATGCTTTCTATGGATGACTTTTCCGCTATGTTATTTCAATTCTTTCTGCAGTATGTTATTCATAAGCGATGGTGCCTTCTATACTACAGGGATCCAGATTGATGATGAGGAACTTGCCCGCTTTGTGGAGCATGTTGATAAAGATAATAACGGAATTATCACTTTTGAAGAATGGAGAGATTTTCTTCTACTCTATCCTCATGAAGCAACTATTGAAAATATATATCACCACTGGGAGAGGGTATACCTTGTAGACATTGGAGAACAGGCTGTCATTCCAGAAGGTATCAGCAAGCATGTGAACCAAAGCAAATACTTCATTGCAGGGGGAATAGCTGGAGCTGCTTCTCGTACTGCAACCGCTCCTCTCGATCGCCTAAAGGTCGCACTACAAGTACAGACATCAAATGCTTCGATTATGCCAGCAATAAAGAAGATATGGCAGCAGGATGGTTTATTAGGGTTTTTCCGAGGTAATGGATTAAATGTTGTCAAGGTAGCACCAGAAAGCGCCATCAAATTTTATGCATATGAAAAGTTGAAAAATGTAGTGAAGGATGCTCAAGGGCACACGGATATTGATACCCCTGGGAGGTTGTTTGCTGGTGGTATGGCTGGGGCAGTTGCACAGGCTGCTATCTATCCAATGGATCTTGTTAAAACTAGGTTACAGACTTTTGCTTCTGAAGGTGGAAAGGCTCCTAATCTTGGAACACTGACAAAAGATATATGGGTTCAAGAGGGGCCTCGGGCTTTCTACAGAGGACTCCTTCCGTCTCTTCTTGGTATAATTCCTTATGCTGGCATTGATCTCACTGCATATGAGACCTTGAAAGACATATCTAAGAGATATATTCTTCAAGATAGTGGTAATGATATACACTGTATCCTTATGAGTTGGCTATCTATGAAATGATTAATTTTCACCCTTCAGAAAATTCACTTGAGGCACTCAAACGTCTCTTTTTACTGTAACAGAACCTGGTCCTTTGATACAACTGGGATGTGGAACAATTTCTGGAGCTCTTGGAGCTACTTGTGTATATCCTCTACAGGTTATCCGTACCAGGTATCTAATTTTTTCAATATTATAGTTCTTGTTCAATAAAATTTTTTTAAAAAAAAGGAGAGTTCTGCGAGTGGAGGATGGTATCATGGGTGTTCTTGTAAGCTAGTAATGTTCTTGTTGGTTCTGCTCTGAGATTATACATTATCGCAATTTTCAGATTGCAGGCACAGCGGGCTAACACGTCAGCTGCTTACAAGGGAATGTCTGATGCGTTTTGGAGAACTTTTCAGAATGAAGGTTTTAAAGGCTTCTATAAGGGTCTCCTTCCTAATCTTCTCAAAGTTGTTCCTGCCGCAAGCATTACTTACTTGGTCTATGAAAGTATGAACAAGAGACTAGATTTGAATTAGAACTGTTATGGTTATTTATGGCCTGAGGCCACTGAGCTAATCTCAATATTAGGAAGAGTTGCAATCGTTACAGTAAATTTCCCCATAGATATCTTAAATCACAATTTTGTAGCCGGAAAATTTTGGCCCATATTTACCTGAGCTAGAAGTTGAGTGCGAAATCAGGGTCATATCATGCCCTTTGATGTTTGATACATGATTTTTTTTCCTTTCTCTGGTTATGCCATTAAAAAAAAAAAAGGTCAGATTGTGCTTCATCTCTCCTTACCTCTAGTTATCGTCATGAATATTTATGAGTGAATGAGATTGATAGATGCCATCATGTCTTTTTCTTATTTCATGATGAAGAACGCATAACTTTTTGGGAAGTACTCACATTTACCATTTACGAACCTGTATTTGTCAAAACGAACCCTTTTAATTTGATTGTTTCTGTAGATTTGTTGCAACTCTGTATTTCTTCTTGATGTATATGCAAGGAAGCGGTTTTAAGTGATAAACCTTATGAAGATCAATATTATAGTTTACCTACAGAGAATTCCTTCAGACCTGTTACAAGGAGGGAATAGAAGGGTATAACGTTAAAAATGCAAGCTTTTATCCAAAACAGAATAATCTTAGCTGTAGGAAAACAGTCAACACTCATCAGCGATACAGTTTATTCATGGTTTCCAAAAAAACAGGCAGCAGAAGCTTACAAACCCTAATTTCAAGCTACTCGCCACACGTCAGTGTCTGCATCTTAATACAAAGGTTTCTGAGTGAAACACTTGGAATGACTGACCGACTTATCTATGTGAAGAGTGGGTGAAGGAACAGAGGGGAAAACAAAAACTAAATGAGCGCCATGGCCCCTTCAACATTCAACAAAACAAAGACTGATTTTAGATAGAAACTGCTAAACATGTCTGGTATGACAGCGATGCAGCTTCATGAATGAAACCTGGAAGAAAGGCTTTGCCTTCCCTTTGCCTCTATGACTTGCCTTTTTCTCCACTTCTCTCTCTTCCAATAACAGAGAGAGAAGAGTAGCATATAAGCTTAGTATGCAAGTACTGAATTCATCCACCACCATCATCTTCTTCCTCTTCTTCTTCCTCCTCCTCCATAGCCATGTTGTTAATGGGTTGAGGTCAAGTTTCTGTGCTGGGGAAGGAAGTGAACACTTGGGATTCTTACCTGTTCTTCCAACTTTCCTAAAGGTCCTTATATACTCGGAGTTGGGAATTTTTTTTATTGGATCTTTTATATTCCTAAAAATGAACATATATAGTGCCCTGGAAGGGGGGAAAATGGTTATTTCACTTTTATTCATTCTAAATATGTGAATTTTTTTCTCAGTGGAGTTGGAGAATATCAGGAAAAAGATAATAATAGAAAAGGCAAACAAAATGGAACAGATCAGCCCAGGCAAAAAAAGAATTACATTTCATAGAGGAAATTATTCCCGAATGGATTCTTGTCATCTCCATTACCCATGTGTGAATATAATTATTCTTATTGCTTTAGACAAAAACAAACACAGGAACAATATTTTGACATCTTTTTTTAAAAAGGGAATAATGATATCAGCGATAAATTACTGGAAGCGTACTCATCCCATACTGATGACATGCAATTTGAACAGGTATAGAAAAACCGCTTGGCTCAAAATGTCAATTTGTAGTATTTTACGAATAGATAATTTGTCATCAAATAGCATTATCAATGGAATGACTGTCTCAAGCTTTCAACTAATCTAATTATCTAAATATTTTTCAACTAATTGGACCAACCTAGGTCCCATAAAAAAAGATAAAAGAAGGACACAATACATTAGTAAGTCTCTGTAGTTTAATTGTGTTTTGTTTTTAGTTTTATAAGTTTATTTTATTTTTCCTGATCCTTTTACTTTGATCCGTTTGTAATGTTAGTAGTTATAATTTTAAAAATATGATTATTTGTTGACATGTATTTATTGACATGAAAAATATGTTGATATGGAAATAAATTAACCAAATATGATTAAAAATAAAAGTTAGGGAAACATCTTTCTTTTATATTTGACTTGAATATAATGTAGGAGATGAAAATGAACGAAACTAAGGGCAAAGAACGTCTTTGTCTAGAAGTTTCAATCTCTGAAAGACAAAAGGGTTTAAGGAGTTAAATATACTTCAGGAAAATTAACTCCATCAACATCAAATCATGTTCTTTATGTATATTTCTAAAAATTATATGGACTAATATTATAGAAAAATCAAATTAAAGTAAATGAGAAAAATGAAAATAAAATTATAGGGGGTAAAACAAAACACAATTGAAGTTTAGGCATCTATTATTATACTCCCCCGTCTCAAATTATAAGATACTTTTAGACAAAATCTTACATACCAATACACCTTATTAAATGCACTTAATAACCTTTTTTTAAAAAAATAAAAATATAAACTTTTAAAAATATTTATAATTTAATATATTAAAAAAAGGGACATAAATTAATTATAGAGAGAGAAAATGTAATATTAAAATTGACATATTTAATGAAATTTTAATTTGTTCAAAATGTTTTATATTTTAAAATAATTTTTTTTAAAAAAAGGTATTATGTAATTTAGGATAGAGGAAGTTTTTTTTTTTTTTTTTCCAATGCAACAATGTTGCATACAGCAAAGGTGAAGATAAAACAAGGAGGGTGATCAAAAGGAATATTGAGGGAAACAAGAATTAACTATTAAAGGAGCAAATGGATAGCTCTTGTTGGAAGGGACTGGATTCGGACCATAAAATAATAACAATGATGTTGTTTTTTGGGCCCATTATTATAACAATAATGTCAATTATGACTCGAAGGTACATGTAGATGTCAAAGCAGCAAAAGCAGCCATGTGTAAAGAGAGAATAATGACATAGATAAGCATTTCCAATTTTGTAGGGCAAATTATGATGGCACATGGCACCATCCACACCCATTGTGGAACGCGGACGCACCAAATCTAGAAGGTCAGCGAGCATAATATTAACATAAAAGGATGCATGATAGCGTGTTGCGAAAGTCTCGTGTGGTCCACGTGAACCAATCTTGCCGTTCATTTTCAACCACGCAGCATCATTCGTTCGAATTAATCGCAAAGATTCCTCCACGCACACCGTGTATGGAAATTCTCAACGAAAGGAATCTCCAAATCCATTCTCAAAATGAGCGAAGAATAGCAATCTTCAACTTCTTTGTTCATTTTTATAATCAAAGAACAGCTTTTTCATGGAATAACGCAAGGATGGAAAATATTTAGATTGATCAAGAACAAGTTATTTACACTTTATTTAATTAAAATTTTTAAGTAATTTAAATAAGATTGTGTATGATATTTTTTAAATTAATTTTATTTTTATAATAAGATACACATTTAATTTTTTATATTTTTTCTTTCTACTATTATTAATATTATAATTAATTTTTATTAAATTTTATTTAAATATTATATTTTAATTAAACAGATTATAAATGATATGGTATGTTAAACCTACTTAAATATTATTATAAACAAATATATCATAATTAAACATGTCGGGGAATCTCATTACTTTCCACTCTTAGAAGTTAACGCCTATAGAAATCATTATACCGTACACAATGGACCTTAAGGTAGAAACCTCCCATGTGGTAGTATAGTAGTGTAGGTAGGGTTGGTTAATGTTTGGTTTAGCGGAGCTGTGGTAAACTAATCCAAGATTGATCATTTTGTTTGGTGATAGATAATTAGATGTGAATTTGATTTTTTTTTTTTTAGTTTAGAAGTAAAGAAAAGGTTTCTATTACTACCAACGAGCATGTAGTTTACTATTAAGAAATTATGCTAGCTTAATTGGTGCTTTCAAATTTAAATTTAAATATACAGCTATGTTGAATACTCATTACAAAAGCTTTTATTGTCAATATGATTTTATTCAAAAAAAAAAAGGTATCTATTACTTCATGTCTATGCTTTGTTTGGTTGGCTTGGAATTTCTAATAACTTGGCAATTTGTCATAGCTTCTAAACTTTAGATCTATAAATTCAAGCAGATCGGGCCAATTCAAGCTCAATCTAAATAAGTATGAATTTAAACAAGCTTAACTTCTTGAAAAACTCAACCAACTAAGTCAAGTCTAAATTCCTTTAGGCTTCAACCTAGCCCAAATAAGCTTGAGCATAAAAAAAATATTTTTCCTAAGTTTGGCCTAAATTTTTTATGTGAGTTTGGGTTAGTTCCTTAGACTTGTCATGAATTACAAGCTCTACTAAACTTAGCTTGAAATCCAAAAAAATGATGAAAATTTTGAAAGTGACAAAATTTGTTACAGCAGAGTTGTATTGATGTCTAATGCTATCTAGATCTATCCCTTGCATGAGAAACTTAATCTCTAATACTTTATTATAGGAAAAATTAATCATTTAATCTCTATAGTTTTAACTCAATTATAATTTAATTTTTAAAATTTTAACTCATTTCAGTCTTTATAGTTTTAACTAAATTGTAATTTAGTTTTTGAATTTTGACTTCGTACAACTCATCCCCTATAATTTTAACCATTTAAAATTTGGTCCATATATTATAAAAAAATAAAAATTATAAAAGATCATTTTAATCTTTATAATTATAAAAAAATTTGTAATTTAAAATATTAGTCTCTAAATTTTAAAATATTTTTAATATTTATAATTTTATTTTTTAAGATATAGGACCATTATTTTAAATTATGAAAATTATAAGAATTGAGTTGTAGAAAATTAAAGTTTAGGAACTTTGTCACAACTAAATTAAAATTATAAGGACTAAGATACAACAAGTTAAAATTTATAACTAAATTATAATTAAGTTAAAATTATAGGGATTAAATAATTACTTTTTTTATTGAAATAGTAAATATCAGGCTTAACTTAGGCCGAAAATAATAGACAAGAATTTATTGGATCCAAATCCAGTAAAAGTAATAAATATATATCTTTTTTGGAGAAACTTTTAGATGGATTTGGTGTATTATATCATTAATGATCCATCCAATAAAATTATATCAATTTAATTAAATAAAATTTTATATATTATTATTTTTATAATAAAATGTCCATTTAACTTGTTGTATTTCTGGTTTTTACTATCATTCATGTTAGAATTAATTTATATTTAATGATATTTAAATTTCATAATTTGTATTGAATAAATAAAGTGCATAATTATTAATGAGTTCAGAAATATTGACACGACAAAACACCATCACCGTGGACGTGCCGGAGTGGTTATCGGGCATGACTAGAAATCATGTGGGCTCTGCCCGCGCAGGTTCGAATCCTGCCGTTCACGCTTTTTGAGCCTTCCTTTCCTCTTTTACTTCATTCCCAACTGTATCAGCCCAAGGAGAGGCTCTAATCCGCAAAGCGGGATCTTTATCTTTTTTAAATGCAAACTAAAAATAATTCATTCAGCAAGAAAGAAACAGAACAAATACAAGAACCGTTTTTTTTTTTTTAAATGTCTTGTCTCTCATCATTGCTATAAAAGTGAGGAATGATCAAAGATATAAAAATTAAAATTATGGTCATGAGTTTTCCTAACTAAACTATTTGCTATACTATGAGCTTTTTCATATATAAAATTAGTAGATATATTTCAATTTTCACATGAAAGGCTTGCAGCTTCAGGAATGACACTTTGAAAACGGTGTTGCATACTATGCTCTTTGCTAATAAGATTAATTGCTTCCGTACAATCACATTGAACTTCAACCACTTTAAAATCTCTATTTGAGCAGAGTTCCAAATTTTTGTGGATGCTAATTGTAGTGGAAAAATAACACAAATCCAATGGGCTAATGAAGAACTTCAAACAGACCAACTAAGATGGTAGAGCTCAGTCGTGTCGAGCAAGGCCCAAGGAATGAAATTGGCATGCTTGGTGGAACTCAAGTCCATTCATAAGAAAGTCCGCATCTGTTTAATAAGGATCGAGTCCAATAGTGTAAGCTTAATGTGTTTGAGGATTTACTGACAAGTTTTGGTGGCCCATTGACTGGAGCCCAAAACATCAAGAAGACATCCAAGGAGGGGTTTTTTAATGATGATCCACATGTTGCTCAACCAAGTGAAGAACCCATGTGCCTTGAAGAGGTGACAAAAGACCCATCCAATAAGGGTCCAAGTATAGTTACAACATGAATCAAGCCCAAATCATTAAAATAGCTGTGCCCCTCTTCAAATCCACTATAGA